ACACATACACACCTCCTGCCTGACCGAACCTTGAGGCAGTCGTCGCCTCAGATACAGGTAAGTCTTAATACTCTCTATTTGACTAGCCTCCCCATTAAATTGTAGTAGGATAAAACATTTTCCATATAGCTTAGTATTATAGGAAATTCTTCCATATAGCCACTTGGGCTCGAACCCTCTGCTGCTCGTTGAATCTTACGCTCATGGGCCTCGGGAGATTCGACATTGGCAGGGGCAGCTGTAGGCCGTAACAGGTGGTGTATTTGAAAAATATTTTTTTTTATTGTAGGATAAGCATTTAAGCTCTATAGGTTGGTATCTTTATTATTTAAGTATTGCAATGATTCTAAGTCAGCGGTGCTGCCAGTTGATCCTGTGTTTTCGGCACTTGCAACAGAGGAATCAGAATCCAGAAAACAATTTGGGATTGGGAATCAACTAAAAGTATTAGTTGCCCCATTGAAATATACAAATTTATAAAAGATAACTTTAATAGATGTTACAATGAAGCCCTAACAATAATTCAAATAAAAAGTAGAACATTAACGAAGGCAGAAAATAAATGGGTTAATAATAGGACTAAAAAGGCATGTGAAAATAGGGACTATTGGTTTTCTTTGTGGTTAAAAAATACTGATGATAAGATTATTAAACAAAAATATAATAAAATACGAAACCCAACTAACAAACTAATACAAAAAACAAAAAATTGGTACATAAAAAGGGATATATATAATAATAAAAATAACCAGATGAGACTTTGGCAAATACTTAATAAGATCACGGGACGGAAAAATTCTTCCGTCGATAATATAATATTAAATTCATTTGAAAATGAGAAAGTTAAGCCACTTGATATCGCTAATAATTTCGCTGAGGTGTTTCAAAAAAGTGTTTCAAGCATCGTACCTTCTTGTAATCGGCCCCTTTTGCCGATGAACTTGTACAGATCGCCTGTAAACGTAACACTCCGATATCAAAAGGCCACTCCAAACTCAGTAGCTAAAATAATAAAAAACATTCACACGAACAAAGCACCAGGTATAGACAAAATACGAGCAACAGACTTAAAATCTATTACGGACAAAATATCGGTTACCATAGCCAACCTAATAAATGCGTGTATTGAAAAAGGTAAGTACCCTACTGAATTAAAAACCGGAATTGTAAGACCAATACATAAAAAAGGTAAAAAAACGGACTACGACAATTACCGTCCAATAACAATACTGCCTACACTAGATAAAATAATTGAAAAATATATAAGTAAACAAGTAAATAATTTCTATAGTCAACACTCAATTTTAAACAAAAGTCAGTATGGTTTTCAGCAGCATAAAAGTACCACTCAACTGTTATCTACTTTCACTGACGATGTAAACTATTATCTTGATAATAAAAAACATGTTCTAGTTGTTTTTATTGACTATAGTAAAGCGTTCGATACTCTAAGGCATGATTTACTGATTGAAAGACTTGATGAATGTGGACTTCGAGGACCCCTTCTGAATTGGTGCAAAGATTATGTTAAAGAGAGAGCATATAGAGTTAAAGTGGGAAATGCTACAAGTATAAAGCAAACCGTCACCCAAGGTACCGCCCAGGGCTCTGTGCTTGGGCCTTTGCATTACTTGACTTATGTAAATAATGTTGTCAATGTCATTAAAAACTGCAAGATCTATCAGTTTGCAGACGATACCTGCTTATTAGCGGCGGAGAACGACATAAATGTGGCATTACAGAAATTGCAAGAGGATTTCACCAACCTTATGAAATGGTCTCACGATGCAGGACTAATTCTGAATGCCACCAAAACAAAATTGATGTACATTTCGTCCAGTCGAAATAGAGTATCCGTTCCATTAAAACTCATTGCCCACAGCCACCAATGTCTTCATAATAACATGTCTAACCATACTTGTAATTGTAATCATATCGATATAGTAGAACAACAACCTTACCTTGGACTCATAATAGACAGTCGATTTAAATGGACGCACCATATTAATAAAGTGTGTGATAAGTTAAGGGCCATACTTGCCAAATTTTCTATAATTAAATATAAAGTTCCCTATCCTATACTGTTATCCCTTTACAAGGCTCTGGCCGAATCGATAATACATTACGGTTTAAGTAGCTATGGTAGAACCTGTAAATCGCATCTATATAATATCCATGAATTACTGCTTAGAATCATCAAAACAATTGTCCCACCTAAAATCAAACAACAATATAAGGATAACTACAACAAATTATTTAAATTTTGCGGTATTCTGCCTATTGAAGAAAAACTAAAACTTACCTTACTTGTTGAACAGTTCTTTAATACAAAATTGCAAGTCCTACCAATGTATAAACACCAGCTTAGAAGTATATATAACCCTAAATTAATTATAGCTAAAACACATAATATATATGGAGATCATCAAAATAAGATCATTATTCCTAAATTAATTAATAAATTACTAATAAATAATAATAATAAATAACCTTAAAGGAAGATATCAATCCTAAAAATATTAAAAACAAATTAAAAACGTACTTTATGAATCAACTAATATAATAACTAACATAATATAACTAAAACTAATACTATATACTATTTGTATACTATATACTATTATATATGTATACTAATTGTAATATAATTACTATATTTATATTTCAAAAATATAAAAATATTTTTTCCTCTGAACAACCTGTATACTACAACTCATCCTCACGTTATTGTTATAGAAGCGAGCGAACTACCTTCTTACTCTAAATAATATTAAAATGTTTACGCTCAAAAGACGGCGAACTGCAGTGTGCAGAAAAATCTTATATAGGTTTATGTTGCACTGTACTTATGAACTGTGTATAATATGTATTTTTGTTGTTGTAAAATAAAATAAAATAAAAAAAATGTAATAAGATTTATCTTTTGACTATTTTTATACCAGCTTCAATATTGTCTAAAACCTTCAATTTTTCTCTTGTTCCGACCGATTGACTAAGCTTTTACGTGTCTCCCTCAAACACATACTATTATGCGGAATAATTAAAAATTACGCGAGTCAAGGGGCATAGCCGATGACATTTTGTAGAAAGAAAGATTTTTTTTTAAAAAACACGTTACCCCCACACTAGGATTTTCTCCTGTATCGTGAAGGCAGTTTACAAACACAAATTGCACAAGGACAAACATCCAGACCCGGAACAATTATTTGCAGGCCATACAAATACTTGTTCCGTGCGGGATTCCAACCCGCGGCCCCCAGCGCAGCAATTCATTGTTAAGCCACTGCGCCGCGGAGCCGCCTATCAATTTGGCCCCAGACTAAGGATTTAATGGCGTGTTCAGTTTTATCTACGACAACATTGACATTTAAAATGAATGTCACCTAAGATGTCACAATAGAATCAGTTATCTATTAGTCAAAGTATTTTAGCAAACATAGTATCTACAAAATACTAAGATACTAAACAAAGGATATTTAAATACAAGGTACGAAATGAAGTTAATAATAAAAGAAGTTATAGTTACAAGATGTAAATACGTATTTTGTATCTTGTATCTTAGATAAGTTACATCTCTGTATGCGGAAGATATCTCCATAATTGTAACATCCCACAAAAATAGTAGTTCATTAGATAATCATGAAAAGGAAATAAATGACACAATCGACACTATGTATATTTTTAAATAGTTTGCTTGCAACAAACAAATTAAAAATATAAATTAAAAAAATGAAAATAAACAAATCAAATGAACCATATAGGATACGTATATAGATTAAATATACGTATCATATCGGGCATATATTGAATTTATACTACGATATGATATAATAAAGTGGAGGCGTACTTGTATATATAGAGATCAGTGATGTGGAGTAATAGCAAACGATGTGTTATTTATTTCGATAGTTATATAATATACACTTCTAATGTATTTATAATTTTGCCTAAGCCAGCCTAAACATACCGATATTATGAACTACTGCTGGGTGAAATTGTTGATAAAAGCTCTCAAAAACTTAATTCGCATCAGCGTATTGTGAAAAATTTGGTGAATCAAATCAAATACACATCAGAATAGCCTGTATGGCGGAAGATCTTTGCCTATCTTTTTTGGCAAATCGATTCGACAACCAATAACAATACAGTAATCTATAGTGATGAAACTCGAGTGAATTTTTTTCACTCGAGTAACTTGCCAGTGATAGCCTAATCACTCGAGTGCCACTCGAATGAAGATAAAACACGAGTGACTTTTTTTCACTCGAGTTACTCGCCTGTCAAAAACTAATAACACCATTGTTTTGCACGCTTTGTAAAGTTTATAAGTCTTGACAAATAATTTTGTTTAGAACTTGAGATTTTTTTTGTTTCTGCTTAGTAAGCGATGCATTAGTTCTTGCAAGCAACTGTAGTTCTGTAAACACCGTCTCATTGATGTAGAATTAGAATCGGCAGACGTGGAAACAGAACTCTCACCTTCAGAAGTTTAAGAACACGCATGATATGAACTTGACTCACCCCTAATATCCTTATACTGAATCTGATGTTTATTCTCCATATTATAAAGAATTATGAAGGAAGTTTTCCCAAAGTATTTGTAGCTTTCTTGCACAAATTAAAAATACCTGATTTTGTTAAACATTTCTGTCGTAAAAAGTTTAAAAAAAGCTATCTACCACTAATTTCAACACGTACTAATAGCAAACAGTTTTAAATAAACATATTACTAAAAACAAACAACTAACTCAAACAAATTCGTACTTAATTTCAAATGGAATATACATCGCCTAAATCTGTCTTTACTTGAATTTCTCACTCGAGTAGGTACAATCTACTGGAGTGGTTCGAGTCATTCGAGTTGACTCGAGTCACTCGTAGTCCGAGTAAACTCGTAAGACTCGAGTGAAACACGGCTCGAGTCGCATCACTCGTAATCTATGATGATAATATTGTATTTGTAAAAAATGACAGTTTAGGGTTATAAGATTTTATTAAAAATGATTATGGTATCAAGACTTTATATCACTTACTTATTTTTGATTACATTTCTGTTTAACGATGAATGTTCTGCGGGAGAATACAATCTTTTTGGAGAAGCAGGTCAAGCATATGCCATTGAAATAATTTTGGGGAACCCTGGCCAAAAGGTAAACATTCCATTTAGGACAATTTGTTTGTTTTGCCTCAGTTGAATTAACATTTAAATGTAGTAAACTGATATTTTTTTTATGAATTAGTACACGTGCTTGTTTCTATTTAGTTTGGAATTAGTTTATAAAAAGGTCTTGTGGATTTTTTATAAAATATTTTTTTTAATTTCATATCCCTTCAAATATATTTTTATTCTGTTTCAGTTAAATGTTATAGTGGATACAGGGAGCGCTACATTAGCAGTAGCATCGTATCCACGGCCAGATAGTAATATATATTTTCATACAGAAAACTCAACTACCATTTATAAAAATGGAAAAGAGGTTTGTGTCACTATAGTTACTAATTAATAAAACTCATATGTGTTGCGCAATGTTGTAGTTGTTTTACGGTAATAATTTAATAATTATTGCAATGTGGGATTTTAACAGCTTTTAGAGGACAGTCCAGCAGAATGTGGGAATGTTGGGCGCCTTATTGTTTGTACTTGAAATTACAGTAGAATCTGTTTTCTACAGCATCAGCTATAATGGTTAAACATATTCACCAATGTAGATGCAAACTCAAGTTTAGCTTGCATACAAATTATAAAGAAATCACATTTGTTTAGTATGACTATGATTTGTTAAGAGTGATGCATTCAAAAATATTTCACTAACCCTGCTTGCTCCTCTCCCGATGGTGTTGAGTTTTTGTGCTTTAGTTTGGTTATGACACTATGAATATACTTACTTACTTACTTATCTTCACGCACAATCCCTGACGGGGTAGCCAGAGAGAACAGATCGCCAAGTGTCATGATCCTTACAAACCTCTTTCGCTTCTTTCAGATTCATTATCTTCTTCATGCATGCATGTCTAGGTATCCGAGTACTTTTGACCCTACCCTCCTCGAGCAATTTGCTCACATGGTCTTCGAAAGTTAGTCTCGGTCTACCTCGACACCTTTTAATATTAACTTTCACGCTATATATTTTCTTCACCATTCGGTCTTCACTCATTCGCTCAACGTGCCCAAACCACCAAAGCACGCCCTTATCAATTTTTGTGATAAGGTCATCTTTCAAACCTGCCATATTGCGAATCTCTTCGTTTTGCTTTCGGTCGGCCATGGTAACACCGCACATTTTACGAAGAGATCGCATCTCCACTGCATTCAACTTACTTTTATGCTTCTTCTGGCATACCCAGGTTTCGCTGCCATATAACAAAGTCGGTACCAACACTGCGTTATGTATTGCAAGGCGTGCACTCTTCGCTACGCCTTGCCTTTTGACTAACGCAGTCCGGGCACCATTGACTTTGTTCCCGGCAGCGACACGCCTGTCCACATCTAAATCGCATCTTCCATCCCGGCTAAAAGCACTCCCCAAGTATACAATTTCATTTACCTGTTCTAGACATTCCTGATTTACCCATATTTCACACTTCGTTCTCTCTTCGTCCCTTTCAAATACCAGAACCTTAGTTTTATTAGCATTCAAACGGAGACCTTTAATTTCACATTCCTCTTTCATACACGTGACTAATGCCTGCAGTTCTGCCTCTGATGGTGCAATAAGCACTGCATCATCAGCATACAGCAGACAATTTACTTTAATGTCACCCAATTTCACACCCAAACAACTATCTTTCAGCTTCTGTAAACAGCTGTCGAGATACAGTATGAACAGCCAGGAAGACATGACACAACCCTGCTTTACGCCCGTTTGGACGTTAAACATGGGTGACAGGTCATGCCCTACCCGCACACAGGCTTTACAGTCACAGTAAAGAGACTGCACAGCCCTTAGCAATCGACCATTCACACCATACCCCGGCAACAGTTCCCACATTTTCTTCCTTACAACCTTATCAAATGCTTTCTCAAGATCCACAAAAGCACAGAAAATCTTCTGGTTAGCAGCCAGTAGCTTTTCCGTGATCATGCGGAGAGAAAACATTTGATCCGTGCATCCTCTTCCAGGTCTAAATCCGCATTGTGCCTCCCATAGAAATCTTTCCGATTTCTCTTGCATCCTACGTGTCAAAACCTTCGAGTAAACTTTACTTGCTAAACTGGTCAAGCTGATCGCCCGATAGCACCCGCAGTCAAAATGTGAACCTTTACCTTTATATAAAGGCACAATGACTGCGGATCGCCAATCATCCGGGACATCCCCCGTCCGCCAGCACAAATTGCACAACAGATGAAAGCTGTCCCAGACGCCCACCATACTTGACCATTTCAGCAGTAACTCTGTCTAGTCCCGCAGCCTTACCACATTTCAAACTTCGAATCGCACGTTCAATCTCTTTCATACTAATGACCTCAGTGTCATCGAGGTCCGGGTCTGGCGTACCAGTCACGGCGTCATCCCCGGATCCCTCACTAAGATCATCACACGCATACATTTCTCTATAAAATTCGCTCCATCGCTGCATGACGTCCGATTTTTCTGAGAGGACGTCATTAGTTCTCGAAAGCACTTTGTTCATTCTTAAGGCCGTCGCACCACTTCGGGTCCTTCCAACCTCTTTCCAGAAGAGTTTGGAGTTCTCCTTAAAGTTGTGTGACAACCTTTCGTCCGCTTCCATTCTACACCTTTCACGCACTTCCTCAATCAATGCTTTCGTGTGAACTTTCTGCAGCTTATATCTTTCTTTCATCTTCTCTCTCATATCCTTATCATTACTAGAGGCCAAGTAGTCTAACCATGCTTTCTTCTTCTTCTTTACAGCTTCTTTCACTTTATCATTCCACCATGCATCTCTTCTTTTACTACTGCCTCTTTTTATTGTTCCACACACTTCTTCCGCTGCACTTACCATTCCATCCCTAAGGTTCTGCCATGTTCTTTCTACACATTCTTTTCTGCCATCGATGGTGTCAAGCTTTTCGGCTACCCTCGCATGATATTTGTCCCTAGTATCCGCCTCCTGAAGCTTCCAGCTTCGGATGCGACAGACCGACTGTGGTTCTGTTACTGCCGTCCGGTAGCGTCAACCCGCGAACAGACCCCTAAATCTAGTTATCACTAGATAGTGATCCGTTCCCAGGTCAGCACCCCTGAACACTCGCGTATCCATCACCTGTTTTCGCAGTCGGTTATCCACCAGGAACAAATCGATCATACTTCTCTCATTCTTTCGTTCTCTAGTATACATATGGATTTTCTTGTGATTAAACATAGTGTTTGTCACAAGAAGACCCTTTTCCTTGCACACCGCCAGTATAAGCTTGCCAGCATCATTAACCCTTTTATCGCCAAACTTTCCAAGTACCGACTCGTACCCTGGTCGAGCGGTACCAACCCATCCATTCAAATCACCACATACAACAATTCTTTCGTTTCCCCTAGCGAAATCTAGAACTTCTCTTACATTCTCCCAAAACTCCTCCAGCTCAGCCCTGGACGACGAAGCTACCGGCGCATAAACAGCCAAAAGGAATAACTTCGTCAGTCCCAATTTAAAGCGAACCCAGAGAAGTCTTGAGTTCACAACCTTATATTCAGTCATAACATCGACCAACCGAGAAGACAGCAGCACCCCCACTCCCTGGCAGGCGCTATCGCTCTCCGGGACTCCGGACCATAGAGCTAACGCCCCGCCAGGGAGCTCTTCAGTACCACTGCCCTTCCGTTTGGTCTCCGACATACAGACGACATCTAATTCTCTTTCTTTCATTATTTCAATCAACTCATTCATCTTATCTCTCATGCCTCCTCTAACATTCCACGTGCCAACTCTGCACTCTATCCTCCACCTTCCGCCGTGTCGGGCTGTGCGTGACGGGTGGCGGTCCCCATCGCCGCTTTGCACGCTGCATTCCACACCAACGGGGACGAGCTGGTGTGCGTCGCCTTGGGGGGACGCCCTAACCCTCGTTGGCATGGGTGCGCAGCTAGTAGAATTGCAGCCCTGAAAAGGGCTGGCAGGGGTCACGACGAGCACGCTTCTACAATGACCCACTATGAATATGATTATGTTTAATCTTTACAATGCTGTCTGCATACAGTTCTTACTGTCAATCAAAAATCAATCAGAAGTAAACACAAAATTACAGTTATTAACATGCCATCGGTCGTGCTCTTTTTTATTACATTGTTGGTCGCGGGGTGACTTTAGAAACCTTAACTTTAAATGTCAGAAGAGTTGTTTAGGGTTAATTTGAATTGTAAATGAAACCAAAATTTTTATTCTTATTCTCTATAACTAATGAAAAAATTATCATAAGAAAAAAGTACAATTTTTGTAGTCATTTTGACAGTACTTAGGAAATACTAAAAAAAATAACAAAATTCAATCTTTTTCTTCTAAAACTAAACAAAACTAACAAAAATGAAATCCTTTCTCCATTAATAAAAAAAAATCAACCTTTAGAAATCAAAAAGAAATAAAAATAATCAGTTCTCATTTCTTTCCTCGACACAACTAACACAAATAGTGGATGAGTGTCTTGGATGTTTTGCCGACGAGACACACTTGATGTGGAGTATTTTCTGTCAATTTTTCGTGGGAAATAGGCACATCTTTTTCTTGACATCTGGCCCTGATTTTAGGGTTCCATTGGTAGCACATTATCTCCAGTGAAACACTTTATATGCGAGCGGAGTGATCATGGAAGAGTTTTTATTATACTCCAATATTTCAGATAATCTTTACAAAGCGAAACTGATATTGTTTTCAGAAACACTTTTCTGCTTATGCTGTCATCTGGTTGATTGCATGTCCTTTTCCTCCTTTCGTAATATTATAAAATTCTATGATTTGGGGCTTTTTTTTAAACTGTTTCCAGATTTACTGCTGCATTGTGGTGCATCGACGACAGTAGTATAACAACTTTATTTTTTTTGAAGCATAAGAGACCAAAGTATTATGATCATTTCCAAAAGCAATGAGGGAGAAAAAAATCTCTATTTTAGCTTTTAGTTCAATAGGGATCTTAGGCTTATTTTGCCTCATGGTGGCAACAATAGTAAGCTTGTGGTCTCTTAGCAAATCTTTAGCGAACGATACACTTGTGAACCTGTTATCAACGGTTATGTTGTGGTTTGTTCCTGAAATTGGCACTATAAGTCGTTTTATAAGAGCGGAACTCTAAAATAAAAGCAGCCCAAGTATATATTTTATTGTATATATAGCCCAAGTATATATACAATAAAAGTAGATTGGCCTCCTTTGAAGGTTAGCTGTTTTTTTTGTCTGTTCATCTTTTTTTTGTTATAGATATAATTTTTGGGGAAATAGTTATGCCTATAATGTAAAAAAAGCATTTATAAGAGAACAGACACAAGCTAGTAGTACCACTTACTCGACTCCATCGAGTCAGTAATTCATTCTGGGGCAATGTATACGCATTTACAACAAAATTCCAGAAAATATACAAAATTTGACCGGCTCAAAGTTCAAAAACTTTATTAAACTAAGTTTGTATAAAAAGGGTTATTATAATATTAAGGAATTTACGGATGATAATAACCCCTGGAAATGAGGTGATCGCTACCAAGCTATTTCTAATTTGTTGTGTTGTTAATGTGACATGATTGTAAGCTGTTATTTTAAAAAAAAGTCGCACTGGGTTTCTTGCTGGTTCTTCCCAGGACAGAGGTTTTTTTCTAAACCAGTGGTAATTAAACAAAAGAGTGACTTTCAATAAGTATTATTTATAATCTTCTTCTATATTAAATAAAAAAGTTTCTGTTTCTGTTAATACAAAACTACAGATTGTTGAGCATAGCGTTAGAAATCTGGCTGTAAAACTTTTTAATAGACTACCTAATGCCCTAAAAACCATAAATAATGTTAAAATTTTTAAACAAAGGTTAAAATCTTTTTTATTGGAAAAATGTTTCTATTCAGTGAAGTTGTAGACATTTTTAGTAAACACGTATAATGTTAATTAATTACATTTAATATTTTATGTTACAATTAAGTTTTCCCACACAACATATATTGTTTTTGGAATAAATGACTATGACTATGATGACTATGACTATGGGCGACAAACAAGCACACAGTCCACTTGGTAGTAAGTGGATGCTATGGCTATGGTTGTTGTTACCCTAAGGACTAAGATGGATTGCCTCATTACCAGTAAAAAAGGACTCTGGTTCTCTACACTCAATACATGAAACAAAGCAGCCTTCTTCTGCTATTTCATGCTGGTATTCTGTGATAGCGTAGTTCTACCCCAGTTGAACCAAATCATTCGGGCTGCAGCTATGTATAGCTATTATATCTGCAGCATGGCTATACCACGTAATTATCTTTCATTCTTTCTTTTTAGTGTAAAGTTTTTTCATGTGACCAGTCAGTAAAACTGTTATGATTTGTTTGTTGTTCATTGTGTCTTTTCCACTAGTCCACCGCTGAAAATTGGCAATTCAAAGAATGCACCATTTGCAACCATATACATCATACTGGGCATACATGTTGTTTTTTTTTTAAATTGAGACTTACTAAGATACAAGTAGTACCTAAGTACTAAATTATGAAAACAAGAGTGAATCTTTAAAGTATATAACACGTATATATACACATACAATACACTTCAAAGTAAGTACACACTTTAATCTTCTTTATATATAAAAATTACGTGTCACATTGTTTGTCCGCGATGAACTCCTAAACAACTGAACTGATTTCAATGAAATTTTGCACACTGTGTGCAGTTTGGTCCAACTTGAGAGATAGGATAGTTTTTATCCCGATAAGTGATCCTTAACATTTTTTATTAGGAATTTAAGGATTTTTTATATGAAGGGTCGACGAAAAAGGCAGAACAACATCTGCCTAGCCAGCTAGTTGTAAATAAAACATACAAATAATTCTTAATTACATTCTCAGGTTCAAGCCAAGTATTCACAAGGTGCATGGGTGGGAAAGCTGGTGTCAGATCTTGTTCACTTTCCATCATTACCATCAGTTCCTGAAGTTCGGTGTGATATTGCACTCATCACCAAGAGTAATAAGTTCTTTATGAATGGTTCAGGGTGGCAGGTACATACTATTTATAAATATCTATCGTTTTCATTATAGCAAAAGTCTACTGCATAACATATTTATTCTCATAAGGGGGATATTTTCCACAGATGCCATGTTTGACAAAGAGGTTGGCAATCGGTTTTATATTATTTTAAGTTGTTGTCAGGAAAATGCTACCGTTCTTTTCCTGTTTTTTTTCCTATTGTCACCCCTTACAAAACCAACGGGATAATAATATACTCCAGACCCAATTTTGGTGATGGCGGCCGGTTTCAACGGAGATTGCCCATCTGCGCAAGACAAAATTATAGTCCCCGATTGTGCATTCAATAAAGATTGGACCTAGAAGCACAGGTGCAATCTCTATTCCCTCACTCTCGTGTTCGTCCGATGGGACGGTAAACTATCACGATTGGGGAGAGATCAGGCGCAAGACCAACGGATTTACGAGCTTTCCAAGGCGGGGGGGGGGGGGGGGGGGAGTGAAACACCGCCAACTTCCCGGGTTGACTGCTACTGAGAATTTCTTGAGACAAAAACTTAAAAGTAACCCGAGATTAATGTAGCTAAAAAAAATGAAATTTGCAATGTAATACATTCTTTGCAATTAATATATTATTATTAATCCCAGTTATTTGACACCGTATTAAAACAGTTAATTGAGACTTATTTTTATAAATTAATTAGGATAAATCTTACACAGTCTTGTCAAAATCATGATTACCTCCGAAGTTCGGTAAAAGTTACATTTGCCCCATATCAGGGGTTAATGCAACTATCACTTTTAGCAGTTTACTTATAAAATATATAATCATATAACTGACAGAATATGTTCTTGAAACAATCATAATAACAATTTTAAGTAATAAGTGATTAAGAGTACTTGGAATACTCTATAAATACCCCAATGATTTTAAGTATACAACAAAGTGGGATGGTATAATTTTCTTTAAAAATTTTGGCAAAATAAAAAGTGGGGCTATTGTAGGTATTTCCTATAAAATAGTATTGGGGATATCGTCTATACTATAATATAATAAAGCGGAAGAGTGTTTTTTGTTTGTTTAAACGCGCTAATCTCTGGAACTACCAGTCCGATTTGAAAAATTCCTTTTGTATATTATAGCCAGATTCATGTGGAATAGTATAGGCTATATAGAATTAAGCTATATTACTCAGCTAGCCTTAAATATGGATATTTGTTAAGCAAGTCAGAAGAAAAAGCACTCCCGAAATGATTTATCAGCGTACGCCGGTGTTATCGTTAGGGATACGTAAATACAATGTTCTAGAAAAATATAGATTACTCCGTCTAAAAAAAAGTCCGCGATACCATATGTCTAATTCCTATACATAAGCCATAATTTGGTATTTTGTGACAAAAAATATTGAACATTTAAAAGTGATTTATGAGCGTTATTATTAGGCATGGCCTATTTATCCTTACGAACGAACTTCATCATCTACTTTTACTTTTACTTCATCATCTACTGTTACTTCATCATCAAGACAATTTTATGAAGATAAACTTTGTTCTTTATACCATGTTATTTGGACGCATAGTTTAATAGATAATGTAAAATTAAAATAATTCAATACTTGGCTGGGCGCGCGAACGACGCTTAAACCCTAGCCGTTATAAATTGCTTGAACTAGGTCATGTCGCGCACCTCGGATACGTGATAACGCGGGTGAAACCGTGGGGCCAGCTAGTACCTCATAAATGTGCTGTATCGATAACCGATTTTTTTTTTAATTAATATGGACTAAGTTGTAAAAAAGTCCTTTTGAATAATAAAATTGTTTATTTAAATCTCTTTACTATTTTCCAGGTTTTAAAATCAACAGCCGTTTAAACTTAAATTTGGGAAGTTTTCTTATATTTTTTATAATTTGAAAGTTTCTGCTTAAATTGTACATATAAATACATATTCCGTAAATGGATCACAAGCTTTTTTCCTTTCGACCTCGACGCTTTGAGCTTTTTTCAGTGATAATTTTTTTCTTGGAGAAACCTTTGCGCTAATAGTTACATAGAATTTCATTTTTTAATGGGGTAACAATACCGTTTCTTCGTACATAATCCGCAATCAATTATTTTATTTGTTTTCGTGTTAGTGGATAAACCGGTTTTTCCATAACATGAACTAAAGAAGCGAGATGTTCTTCTACTCGTATCTCTAACTACTAATAGATGACACTTATTCAAAAAGCTTAAGGAAGATTAAGTAGTTATAATTAACCCAGTTACAATAACCTCAGGTCACGTAACTGTTCTTTTTTGGCATGACCCAGTGGGATTTAAACATTAGATCTCTTGAACAGCAGTCACGTTTGTGACCACTAAACCAACGAGGCAGTCGTGGGATAATTTTATGGTAGTTGATTCTCTTAGGCTAAAATAATAATTTAACACAATTTTGTGAAACTATATTATATTTATTTTTATTTTAGGGTCTTCTTGGTTTGGCCTACTTGCCAGTTGGGGCATGGGGAGAGAACGTAATAGTGGGTTCCTGGTTGGATTCTGTGGACCATATGCTCAACAAACCAATGTCATTTGAATTAAAACTTTGTGGCGCACAGGGTCCTACCAATGCGACGCATTATGGCAATTTAAGAGTGTTAGGTACGTAACCATGTGATTTATAATGCATTCGCAATCTCAATTTTTTATTTTTAAATTTATAGACGCACAGCATGAGTGTTGCTATTATAATACTCGTATCTACAGGTACCACCGTGTCGTACAATACAATATTCACTTTTGTAACAATGATATTACGTTTGTATGTAACTGTGGAGTGACGACAGCTCCGCCACATCACCATTTATACATTTTTTAACATTTTTTTACTGAACATCACCTGTCTGATGAACAGTGAACAGTGTAACTACATATAATAATGTTAAATTTCTAAAAGCTACAACTAGCACAATAAATGATTTCTTCTATTCTATTCCATAAAAAAGTGTAGTGCAGATTATGATTAATTTAACGATGGTAGAGCCACGCAGCAGCTTTTGCTGTTGCACGTATGGGCCGGCTCGAGCCGGGTTGGTACCGGCGTGAAGTAGAAGCTCTGCTTCTGCGTTTCGTCTGGTGAGTGCAGGTGGCCGGTGACCCAAAAAAAAACCAGCACCCCTGGAGAATCCCTCGCTGAGCATCCACGACCATGTTATTCCAGTCCTGAGCGTGCGTGCTTAGGCTGCCCCGCGTATTCTGGGAAGTGGGGGGGGGGGGGGGGGGGAGAAAAATTCCGCTCAAAAACATAACTGCTCGGGGCATACTGAGCAACAATACCAAGGCGACCCCTGCCACGCTATCCGTGAATTTCTGCAATATCAGGAGTCTTCACTCGAACCTAAACGCCGTCCACTACCATCTCGAGACGGAGCCTCGGGCTGGAGTTTGCGTGAATGTCAGAGAGGACATCTGTTCTCGACGCCTCGGCGGTCTTGAAGGTTCGGATTGTCCATCCTTTTGCTACGCGTAGACAGCGACGACCATCCGCGCGTCCACGGGTGCCTCGATAGGTCCCATAGCGGTAATGCCGAAACAGACCGACTCATCGACCACGTCCAAATGGCTACAGATTCCTTGCTACAACTGGTCCCATCCGCAGAGATCGTGATCCTTGGCGATTTTAACGCCCATCACGCCGAATGGCTCGGTTCACGTTTAACCGATCATGCGGGGAGATCTTTTTATGACTTTGCTTTGGCATATGGTCTGACACAACTGGTTACTTTGCCTACGCGGATTCCAGATGTGGAGGATTATACACCTTCCCTGTTGGACCTTCTGCTGACCTTTCCATCCGGACAGATATCAGGTTTCCGTCGATACCCTCTCGGCTCTTCGGACTATTGTCTGATCCGGAGTGTGGTGCCAATCACTCTCCCCTCGCGGTTGCGTTCTGCAGGTTGCCGCCGTGTTTGGCATTACAGGTCGGCGGATTGGGACGGAATGCGGTCTTTCTTTGCATCCTACCCATGGGGGCAGGTTTGCTTCTCGCCGGATGATCCCAGCGCTGTTGCTGACTCTGTCACTGATGTAGTGCTACAGGGAATGGAACTATTTATTCCATCATCTGTGGTACCCATCGGAGGCAGATCCCAGCCTTGGTTTGGTACGCAGTAAGCAGGAGTGTTATCAAGCCTGGGCTGCGGCTTCGGCGATGAATCGGGATGTAACCACCAGCACACTTAAAAAGAAGTATTACTTCGCCTCCAGGTCCTTCAAAAGAGTTATTGCCAAGACAAAGTCAGAGCACATAGGCAGAATTGGCGAGAAACTAGTTCGCCTTTCTTCGGGAACCCGTGCATTCTGGTCTCTCGCCAAGGCTGTCCAAGGGAACTTCTGTCAGCCATCTCTGCCATCTCTGCACAGGGTGGACGACTCACTGGCCCAAGATGCAAAAGACAAAGCCGACCTTTTAGGCTCCCTTTTTGCGTCCAACTCGACTCTTGATGACGGGGGAAAAACACCGCCGACCATCCCGCGGTGTGAGTGCTCCATGCCGGATGTGCTGTTCTCACAGCGCTCGGTTCGCAAAGCACTCGAAAAGCAAAGAGTGGGCCTGACGGAATCCCCCCAATTGTGCTGAGGACGTGTGCTCCGGAGTTGGCACCGGTCCTAACGCGTCTTTTCCGGTACTCTTACTCCCAAGGCGTAGTCCCGAATCCATGGAAGACAGCTTTTGTCCACCCGATCCCTAAAAAAGGCGACCGCTCAGACCCGTCCAACTATAGGCCTATCGCGATCACCTCCTTGTTCTCCAAAATAATGGAATCCATTATTAACTGCCAGCTCATGCGGTACCTTGAGGATCACCAGCTGATTAGTGAGCGCCAATACGATTTTCGTCGGGGTCGATCAGCTGGTGATCTTCTGGTCTATCTGACCCATAGATGGGCGGAGGCAGTAGAGTCCAAGGGCGAGGCGTTGGCCGTTAGTTTGTACATTGCGAAGGCCTTTGATCGGGTTTGGCACAAAGCGCTTCTTTCGAAGCTCCCTTCCTATGGGCTTCCCGAGAAATTGTGCGATTGGATCACCAGCTTCCTGCTGCAGATCGGAGCATCAAAGTCGTTGTAGACGGTGCATGCTCCGACTACAAGCCTATCAACGCTGGTGTTCCACAAGGCTGTGTGCTATCACCAACGCTGTTTCTTCTGCATATCAATGATATGTTGCTAACTGGTAACATTCATTGTGCTATGCGGATGACAGCACTGGTGATGCTTTATACACCGGCCGTGCCAATATTTCTCTGAAAAACGTCGCTGAGTACCGGAATAAACTTGTGTCTGAAGTCGAGTCTTTGCTGAACAAAGTCTCAGATTGGGGGCGACTAAATTTAGTCCAGTTTAATCCTCAGAAGACACAAGTTTGCGCGTTTACCGCTAAAAAGAACCCCTTTGTCGTATCTCCTCAGTTTCAAGGCACTCCCCTTCTTGCCTCAGCCAGTATCGGAATCCTCGGAGTCGACATATCGAGTGACGTGCAGTTTCGTGGTCATTTGAAAGAGAAGGCCAAATTAGCCTCTAAAAAGCTTGGCGTGCTCAGCAGAGCGGGACAGTATTTCATGCCGGCACACCGCCTGCAACTTTACAAGGCGCAGGTTCGGCCTCACATGGAATACTGTTCCCATCTCTGGGCAGGGGCTCCCCAGTGCCAGCTTCTTCCACTTGACCGCATCCAGCGCAGAGCGGCTCGAATTGTCGACGACCGAGTCCTTTCCGATCGGCTCGATTCATTGGCTTTGCGAAGAGATGTTGCATCCCTTTGCATTTTCTTTCGCATCTACCACGGGGAGTGCTCTGAGGAATTGTTCGGATTAATCCAAGCCACCAAATTTCACGAATGCACATCGCGGCAGAACTCCCGATACCATCCACACCATCTGGATGATTGGCGGTCCACCACTGTGCGATTTAGAAGATGTTTTCTTTCTCGCACGACTTCCTTGTGGAATCGATTACCATCAGCGATTTTTCCGGACCGATACGACTTAGGGACCTTCAAGAAAAGAGCGTATTCCTTTTTAAAGGGCCGGCAACGCATGTGCAATTCCCTCCCTGGTGTTGCAGTTGTTCATGGGCGGTGGTAGTCACTTACCATCAGGTGAGCCGCATGCTCGTTTGCCCCCTCTCCTATAAAAAAAAAAATGTAAAATGCCTCCACAATATAGGATAAAATCCCTAGTCCCAACTTAAAAAAGTCAATGTTTTCTTTGAGGTGATTGGTCTAAAACTTGTCAGGGCCACATTATTTACGGTCCGCCACTAGATGGAGTGACCTGCTAAGATATCCAGGAAGTCTATTGGCCTAATACTCAAACGAACCTCAAATTGAAGACGTTAAGTCTCGTGCTGTCTCTGTTACTTTAAGTCAAAGTTACTTTGACACTATGAGACTTAACGACATCTTATAATCGAGTAGCGTTTATGTATTTGGCCATATGCATGTCATCATTGTTTTTCATTCTTTCAATCATTTTTCATAGTTGCCCCGTTGTTTTATTAATTTGATTTCTTATCAGGAGGATGTTGCTGCCCATTTCCTGTTCTAGTTTTCCTCTGTCACCTCTTATGACACCCTCGAGGATGATACGAAGTAGTGGATTCGCTTACGCCGCCACTACACAACAAAGAGGATATTAATTAAATATTTATCTTGTTTTATTCAGATGTTTGAAAGATTATTTTTAAATGCCGAAGCATAAATCTGTTATTTTTATGCTTACAGATGACCAAGAAATAGTAAAAGATAAAGATGTTATGTTCCGTACACCTATCCTTCGTAAACATTGGTTTGTAGTAGGCGTTTTATCCATTCGAGTACTTACTGATGCCACAGTGCCTTTGATTGCTTCAAATATGTCCAATGTGGGGAATGTTTCAAAAAGTACAAATGTAACAAATGAAAAAATACTGTATGAAATTAATGAAGACACTTGTCAAAGACTGAATGACCAAAAGAGTATAGTGGACAGTGGTACAACTAATATAAGATTGCCAGATGAAATATTTAGTCAGGTATGAAATTTTTCATTCACTATATCTTCTTGCTCAAATGAAAAAAATAAATTAGTGCTGGATAAGGTGATGTTGGACGCGTGGTATAGTGGTGTGGGCACAACCACAAACAGGAGATGGGCAGCAACATCTTCCTGATAGCATCTCAACATAATAACTATTGCAGATATCCAACCTATGAAACAATATATTGGGAAAGCCTATGTTCAGTAGTAGACTTTAATGATTGTAATGAATGCATAAATGAATGAAATGAATGTTGTATATTTGGTATTCTTCAGAATTCTAAAACATGGCATGCGTTATGGAACAGAGCTATAGTACTTCACAAATGGTCTTACGTAAATGCTTTAAGCACTCAGTGAGCTATAAAGAGGGTTATTATGATCGTTTTTTTTTCTGCCAGATAAAATATCTAATGAGAAAATTAAATTAATAGTAGCAGGTGTTACTTTATTGAAATTCATTATAGAGCAAGATACTAGGGCCACCAGACGTCACTTATTTTCTGAATATATTTTCATACACTGTTTGTAGCTTCAACATGGTTGTTCGTCATCATCCATCACAGACCATAAAGTCTTTTGTTAAACATAGGCCTCCCCATAGACTGCCCAAAATGCGATCCTGAGCCACCTGGATCCATCGACACTGCAGGTTTCATCAGGAAAACTTTTTTTAGAACCTTTAATCCCTATTGATTATTCATTTGTTCATTCACCTCCTATATGGCTCATCCATTACCACTTCAACTTAATGATTCGGTAGTGCAACTAGCCAATACACATTGAAGTATAATGTACTTACGTACTAGTACAGCTATTTCAAACAAAAACTGTGCTCTACTCTGTGTCGTTGCGCATGTGCCGTAACAGTCTTACCGCGCATGCGCGGTTTTTTATCATAATAGATTATGCGTACATAGGTAGAATGATCAGTAGGTATTTAATTATTGTTTATTTAGAGTACATATGTTATTAACTTATTAAAACGCATTCAATATTTAATAATTTGTCATTTATTTTGCATGATATGAGGTAAGTTAATATGATAATATATAATATTATCACAATAGCATTTTAATTATATTTTTATGTAAATATTTTATAAGATAACTATATAAATTGGAAGGAATCGAATCTAATGAAATATATTTATTTAAATCAAGAACTGGGTCCCCAAAAGCCCTAACCTAAGTTTGCGTGAGGCATGGACACAGAGCTGATACTTTTTATATTATGCCTTATGAATTACTGTGAGAAAACATAGTAAAACTTTAAAAAGTTCTACCATTTCTGTTTACACACGAATTATACGTATATACACTTATTTGTTGTTTTTTGCTGAAAATTAATTTCAATTAATAAAATGTATAAATGTTATTGTAAAAATATGTATTAGGGATTTAATTAAGTGCCTTTAAACAATAGAAGTTTTGTTAATTTTTGCCTTCTTCGTACTATATTTATCCTCTTCCTTAAAATGCAAGGAACAAATTTATGTATGATTTGTTGGTAATCACATCTCTTCTACGATTATTATGGACGAATTAAATCCACTTTTCTCGGTTTTCGTGGTTTGGACGTGGAAACCTAAAAATAAAATAAAAGAATAATCAGCAAATATAAACGTAAGAAATTTAGCCTAATTATAAATACTTCTATTTATTTCTACAAAAAAATTGTGCCTAATATAATCGTCCTACACTTGCTCACAGAAATGTCGTATCTGAACAAATTAATTTCATAATCTATATTCCATGACACAAGTTGGCACCAAAGAAATAACTTTTTAATTATTAATGTATAATGTTTTTTATTATTTAAGTTCTTACTTACCGATGAAAAGTGATTCCTTGGTTTTTACTAACATTTCGTGAATATTTTGTGCAATATCTAAAGAACACACCCCGGCATATTTTATCAAGATATTTTTTTTTTAAATCAACACAACACGTGACAACTCTACAAGCGCCTAGCGAGTGACTGATTAAAGTGCGGTGACATTGCTTCAGTTGAATGGAACAGTGTAACTTAGTGCAGTGTCGCCTCTAGTACGTAGTACATAATAACTCAATGCCAATACACCATTTTATTTTCGCACGCGAACTTAATTTCCTCATCTTCGATGTAATAGTCCTAAATACCAGGGCCACCAGACGTCACTTATTTTCGGACGAATGAAATGTGTAATATTGAGTAATGTTAGTATGATCTTATGTCTACCTGCTAGCTTGGCCAGATTGACGTGATTTAAGATTTTTTTGAGAGCTTTAAAGTCTCGTCTGCATGACTGATTTTTAACGATATTAAACATATCCACATATATATCCAGTCGTCGGTCGTCAGTCGTAAGTGCTACACGCTTTTGTAATGAGTAAATCGGATTATTTCAAAGTACCCACAATGTCCAAATGTGGTATTTGTAAAAAATCATTTACAAAATCTCTTCCCGGATTGGAGTCTAGTAAGTGTGAAAACAATTGTGCATCTTAACACGAAATGCAGTGGCCTGACAAACAAACAAACAAATCGCAGCACTGAAAGCGGCCTCCAGCCTGGAGTGGACTTGCCTTGATTGTCAGCAGGAATCACCGAGACGGAACTCATCTATTGTAATCCCGGAAGAAGACGACGAAGAAGATGATAAACGCGTCTTAATAAACTCCAAAAACTTGCGGAGTTCAATAAGTAAGGAAGTTGAAAAAGCAATAAAAAGTGAAATGCGGGAACTGAATGAGTCTCTGCATCTATATGCATTTAAACAAATCATTAACGTTATAGAAGGAAAAAAATATAGAGCTTACTAATAAGAACAACAATTTGGAAACGCGGGCAGGTGATCTTGAGCAGCAAATGCAAGATAAGGAGCAAGAAAAACTTACAAATTGCATATAAATATCAAATTTCCCTACCAGCCCACAGAAAATGTCAAGAAACTGGTGGAAAGCATTGCTCTGAAACTCCAACAGCCCCTCGAAGGAATAAAAAGTATTCGAAGATTTCCTGGGAAAAAAGACCATCCGGCGAACATAAAGGTAGAATTTCAAGACAAGCTTTCACAAGAGAAATGGATATCAGCAGCAAAATCCACTCAGACTATCGTACCAAATATCTATCCTACAGAAATGAACAGGTATAGTGTCGTGTACATCAGAGAAGCAATGACAAAAAATAATAAAATTATATTGTGGCAGGCGAAGCAGGAGCTAAAAAATAATCAGAATTATAAGTATTAAATGAAACAAATTTTTACGGATTATATCGCGTTTAATTTTAACTTTTTTAATTCTCGACGTTTCGGGTACTTTACAGCACCCATGGTCACGGGGCCAATTCCCCCCCTTCCCCCATCAACATGGTAGCGGAATTGAACAGAAGACTACCCCAGGAGGGTACCAGCACCCCTGGAGAATCCCTCGCTGAGCATCCACGACCAAACTACTCCACTCCTGGGTGTGGGTGCTCAGGCTGCCCCGTGTATTCTTGTGGGGGTCAAATTCCGCTCGCGACTAATACTGCTCGGGGCAAGCGGAATAAGAAAAAGGAGACGAGAGAGGAAGGAGAAGAGAGAATGGGTCACGCTATCCGCGAATTTTTGCAATATCGGGGGACATCATTCCAACCTTAACGCTGTCCATTAACATCTAGAGACGGCGAAGCCGGCCTTGTTTTTTTTTAACCGAGACTCAGGTGTCCTCTCTGGCTGATACTTCATTTCTCTCCTACCCGGGGGGTACAAATTTGAACACTCCTTTGTGCTCCGGGCTGAAGTTTGCGTATACGTCAGAGAGGACATCTGTTTTCGACGCCTCGGCAGTCTTGAAGGTACGGACCTGTCCACCCTATAGCTGCGCGTAGACAGCGACGACCATCCCCGCGTCTACGGGTGCCTCTATAGGTTCCATAGCGGTAATGCGGACACAGACCGACTCATCGACCACGTCCAAATGGCTACAGACTCCGTGCTACAACAGGTCCCATCCGCAGAGATCGTGATACTCGGTGATTTTAACGCCCACCACGCTGAATGGCTTGGTTCCCGTTTAACCGATCATGCGGGTAGATCTGTGTATGACTTTGCCTTGACATATGGTCTAACACAACTGGTTACTTCGCCTACGCGGATCCCAGATGTGGAGGATCATGTACCTTCCCTGTTGGACCTTCTGCTGACCTCTCATCTGGACGGATATCAGGTCTCTGTCGATGGCCCTCTGGGCTCTTCGGACCATTGTCTGATCCGGAGTACGGTGCCACTCACGCTCCCATCGCAGTTGCGATCTGCAGCTTGCCGCCGTGTTTGGCACTATAGGTCGGCCGATTGGGACGCGATGCGGTCTTTTTTTGCATCCTTCCCCCTTGGGGTGGGTTTGCTTCTCGCCTGAAGATCCCAGCGTTGTTGCCGATTCTGTTGCGGATGTGGTATTTCAGGGTATGGAACTTTTTATTCCATCCTCTGTGGTGCCCATCGGAGGAAGATCCCAGCCATGGTTTGGTCGCTCCTGTAAAATAGCATCACGCTATAAGCAGGAGTGCTACCAGGCCTGGGCTGACGCATCAACGTCCCGGGATGTAAACACCAGCGTTCTTAAAAAGAAGTATAATTCCGCCTCCAGGTCCTTCAAAAGTGTCATTGCCAAGGCAAAGTCAGAGCACATCGGCAGAATTGGCGAGAAACTAGTTCGCCTTCCTTCGGGAACACGTGCATTCTGGTATCTCGCCAAGGCTGTCCAAGGGAACGTCTGTCAGCCATCTCCGCCATCTCTACACAGGGTGGACGACTCACTGGCCCATGACACAAAGGAGAAAGTCGATCTACTGGGCTTCTTTTTGCTTCCAACTCAACTCTAGATGACGGGGGGAACACACCGCCGACCATCCCGCGGTGTGAGTGCTCCATGCGGGAAGTGCTATTTATACAGCGCTTGGTGCGTAAAGCACTCCTCTCCATGGACGTCAACAAGTCGAGTGGGCCTGATGGAGTCCCGCCTATTGTGCTGAAGACGTGGGCTCCGGAGTTGGCACCGGTTTTAACGCGTCTTTTTCCGTACTCCTACTCCCTAGGCGTAGTCCCGAACTCATGGAAGACTGCTTTGGTGCACCCGATCCCTAAAAAAGGCGACCGCTCAGATCCGTCCAACTACAGACCTATCGCTATCACCTCCTTGTTCTTCAAAGTAATGGAAACCATTATTAACAGCCAGCTCATGCGGTACCTTGAGGATCACCAGCTGATTAGTGACCGCCAGTACGGTTTCCGTCGAGGTCGCTCAGCTGGTGATCTTCTAGGTTAGCTAACTCATAGATGGGCGGAGGCAGTGGAGTCCAAGGGGGAGGCGTTGGCCGTTAGTTTGGACATAGCGAAGGCTTTCGATCGGGCTTGGCACAAAGACCTTCTTTCGAAGCTGCCTTCCTATGGGCTTCCCGAGAAATTTTGCAATTGGATCACCAGTTTTCTTACAGATCGGAGCATCAAGGTCGTAGTAGACGGTGCATGCTCCGATTACAAGCCCATTAACGATGGTGTTCCACAAGGCTGCGTGCTATCACCAATGCTGTTTCTTCTGCATATCAATGATAAGTTGTAAACCAGTAACATTCATTGCTATGCAGACGACAGCACTGGTGATGCTTTATATACCGGCCGTGCCAATATTTCTCGGGAAAACGTCGCCGAGTGCGGGAACAAACTTGTGTCTGAAGTCGAGAGTTGAACAAAGTATCAGACTGGGGGCGACTAAATCTAGTCCAGTTTAATCCCCAGAAGACACAAGTTTGCGCGTTTACCGCTAAAAAGAATCCCTTTGTCGTATCTCCTCAGTTTCAAGGTACTCCCCTTGTTGCCTCAGCCAGTATCGGTATCCTCGGAGTCGACATATCGAGTGACGTGCAGTTTCGTGGTCACTTGGAAGGGAAGGCCAAATTAGCCTCTAAAAAGCTTGACGTGCTCAACAGAGCGGGACAGTATTTCATGCGGGCACACCGCTTGCAACTTTACAAAGCGCAGGTTCGGCCTCACATGGAATACTGTTCCCATCTCTGGGCAGGGGCTCCCCAGTGCCAGCTCCTTCCACTTGAACGCATCCAGCTGTGCGCTGCGGTTCGAATCGTCGATGACCGAGTTCTTTCCGATCGGCTTGACTCACTGGCACTGCGTAGAGATGTTGCATCTCTGCGTATTTTATCGCATCTACCACGGGGAGTGCTCTGAGGAATTGTTCGGACTAATTCCAGCCGCTTAATTTCACCATCGCACATCGCGACAAACCTCGCGATACCATCCATGTTATCTGGATGATTGGCGGTCCACCACTGTGCGATTTAGAAGAAGTTTTCTCCCTCGCACAACTTCCTTGTGGAATCGATTACCACCAGCGATTTTTCCGGACCGTTACGACTTAGGGACCTTCAAGAAAAGAGCCTCCTCCTTTTTAAAAGGCCGGCAACGCATCTGCGATTCCCTTGGTGTTGCAGTTGTTCATGGGCGGCGGTAGTCACTACCATCCGGTGAGCCGCATGCTCGTTTGCCCCCTCTCCTATAAAAAAAACGGAGGGGGGGGTCTGAGGTGTTTGACGTCCTGATGTCATAGCACCGGCTACCTACAGTTTTTTAATATTAATTTTTGGTTTCTGCGTAAATCGAACCAAAAATTAATATTAAAAATCTGAAGGTAGCCGGGCTAACTATGACATCAGGACGTCAAACACCTCAGTCCCCCCCCGTTACCAAGGGTGCTGGAAAGCACCCGAAACGTTGGGAATTAAAAAAGTAAAAATTTTTTAAAAGTTTCTTTGTATATGGACGGCGTGCGGTGTACCGTAAAACTCAAAAGAGTTTATGTTTACACCTTATTAATTGTTATACTTCCTACTGTCTATGAAATAAATAAATAAATAAATATACGTAAAAATCAGCTGGGAGAATTAACTTGAGGTCAGTAATGTTTTTACGTACTTTGATTACCTGATGCCTGGAAAATGGTCATATGGCCAAGCTACCAGGTAGGCATGCAATCATAGTACATACTAACATTACTCAATATTACACATTTCGTTCGTCCGAAAATAAGGGACGCCTGGTGGCCCTGGGATCTTGGCCTGTTATATCAAAAATGAGAAAACTACGTTCGCGTGCGAAAATAAAATTGTGTAGTGTTAATGGCTGAGCCATATAGGAGGTGAATGGACGGTTGGACCTTTAATCAATAGGGATTAAAGGTCCTAAAAAAGTTTTCCTGATGAAACCTGCAGTGTCGATGAATCCAGGTGGCTCAGGATCGTATTTTGGGCAGTCTATGGGGAGGCCTATGTTTAACAAAAGATTTGATGGTCTGTAATGGATGATGATGAACAACCATGTTGAAGCTACAGCCAGTGTATGCAAAATATATTGATTTCCCTTTGAAAGAAGTCATAATTTTAGTAGCAATAGAAAATCACAATTTGCACTTAGATAAAACTGGAAATTAATATGGGGATAGACGTGTTAACCGAGACTTATATTCCGTTTGCTATTATTTTCAGGTGGTTAGTGAACTTAGGAATGCAGCACGAATGACAAATGTGCTGATATTGGATGAATTTTGGTATCACAGTGAAGTAAGTAATATTTTTTATGAATTTGTTATGATTGGTTATATAATCACAGTGGTAACTTTAATGTCGAACGCTGCGAACAAGATACCACTCCAAACACTTGTACTGCTACTAAGGATTAAAGTTTACCAGGACTCAGTGCGTATGGTAGCATTGCCGTGCGCCTGCTAATATGCGGCAAAGGTCCCTAAGCGGATATATTATTACCCTTTTATCTTCTACGCCTAGGGAGTAGGAGTACGGGAAAATACGTGTAAGAACCGGTGCCAACTTCGGAGCACACGTCTTCTGCAGGGATTCTATTAGGTTCATTTGACTTGTTGATTTCGAGGCAGAGGCGTGCTTTGCGCACCGAGCGCTGTGTATACCTCACATCCGGTATGGAGCACTTACAACTCGGGATGGTCAGGGGTGTGTTCCCCGTCGGCCATTCAGTCATCTTCTCTATCGAACTTCTTTTTTAAAAAATTCTATAGCCTCAAGAAAAATATGTAACAGGAATCCGTATTCTGTTGCGAGGTCCTACTCTGGTTGGTACTACTTCTAATGCGGATGTCCTATAGTCTTTGCGTTGTAGCATGGTGCGTATGACAGCTCACGCCTATGAAGTTTCGTATTATTTTAGATAAACTGTCATATAGATATTATTGTACTTCATGGATGGGTACCGCCATAGATAATACACTATATACCAGGGATAGATGCGCCACTCACATTTCAGTTTCCGAATGGGTGTACCGTGTACGCTAGATGCCGCTGTATTCCTTAGTACAACGCGGCTTGCGGTAGTTACCACATGGTTACCACTAGATGGCGCAGTTTGTCAATGACTATATTGGTAATTATGAACTATGCAGTTTTATTAATAATGTTTGTTTATGCATTCTACCAGATAATTATTGGATATCTCCAATGATTATCTTAAATCTTCAAATAGTAATTTTGCAGATAACATTAACACTAATAAAACTTAACCTATTTCACATAAGATTTTAATATTAATATCAAACACTGAACAGAATTTTAATTATGTATTTATTTTCTTTTATGAATGTTAAAATATTTAATAGCTTTCGTGTTGACATTATCATTTTCACAATCACAAATCAGTAGTTAATAATTTTCCATTTAGCAGCCTGTTAACATTGGTGCATAAACTGTGAACCACCACATTTATTGTTAAATTTAGTAAATAATTATAAAGCCTTAATAATGATATTCACACGAGAGGAACGAAAAGTTGCAAAATATTTTCGTTTTCTGAATTATCGTTTCAATAATATTCGTATTTATTAGAAAGAACTGTCAACCGAATGTGTCAACCATAACCTTAGACCAAAACTGCCATAGATTTAGGTTTTTTTGGCTTTGGATTCTGGGGTTTCGGCTAAATTAACGCCATCTATACAACGCTGAACAAAACTAGCCTACAAGTTTATGTACCTTGTTCACTAGAGGGCAGAACTTTCAATGCATTTTTTATTCTTGTAAATTTGTATGGCAGTTTCATCCCCCTGGGTACCGCCCACTTACGGTAGTGATATGTTACGCTAAACTATGCCATTCCATAACGAACAGACTATTAAAAATCGGTTCTGAAATAAATCGAATATATAAATAAAAATCACGTATATATGTATTGAAATTGGAACTAATCGTTCAACAAATTCTGATTTACAGGAGAAAAAACGCACTTAGACGAATATGCAGTGTTTCCGATGCGTGGACGATAAATTATTCGTTGGTCAGCTCAGGCAAAAAAAAATTATAAATCAAATTGCGCACTGTGTCAAAAAGACTCATAACTCATGGCAGCTAAAATGGCTACGAGAAACCTATTTTTTATTTTTATTTTGATTTGTAAACCAAATTCTCGATTATTTTTACCTTCCGATCCGATATTTAGTCCATTGGACCTAGCAACACTAATACACGTATAGCGAAAGGCACTAACACTCGTACCTTGCAAAGCTGCTGGTGCAGTCAACGCCGTACTGAAAATTACAGATTTTATTTTTAAATTAATACATAGTATAATCTATACATTGAAGTGTCTGTTTGTAATATCAAAATAACAGCCTTTTACTAAATACATATGAAAGTATATACGGTATTTATAACAAAAAGACAAAAATAATTTATAAAATGTTTGTCTGTCTGTCTGTCTGTTTGTTCCGGCTTATACGTAGGTCACTCAATAAGTTTTGAGATATACAAAAAATATTTTAGATACTATTAATATTTATTTTACATCTTTTCAAAATATTCTCCATCATGCTCTATACAAAGTTCCATTCGCCTAAACCAACTCCGAAAACACTTTTGCCAGTCTTGATCTGACAGGTTGGAAATCGCTTCTTCGTAGGCAGCCCCGGCTTCTTCGGCGCTTGAAAAAAACTTGCCTTTTATTTTTTCCTTGACCCTTGGGAACAAAAAGAAATCACAAGGACCTAAGTCAGGGCTGTAAGGTGGGTGACTTAGAGATTCAACACCAGATTCCTCAATAAATGCTTTTGTTCTAAGGGAGGTATGTGAAGAGGCGTTATCGTGATGCAGCATGATTCCCCGAAGCCCGCTCTTTGGTCTTCTCTCCCGCATAGCTTGAGAGTTGACTGACCTACAATTTTCCTGCATTGACGTCAACAAATATCCGCTCGTCGAAATAAAACTAGCCCCTATTTTTTGCCGACGTTGCGAGGTCTTTGCAGTTTTGTCGGTAACTGTCCTTCTGAGTAGACCCATACCGATGATTGCCTTTTATTTTCCGAATCATATTGATAGATCCATGTCTCGTCACCAGTAACGATTTCTGAAACACGCCTAGATGCCTCGTTTTCAAAACGTAGACGCATTTCATGGCACCAATCCACACAAGTCTGTTTTTCGCTTTCGGAGAGCGTACGAGAGATCCATCGACAACAAAGCTTCCTCACTTCAAGATGTTGATGTAGGATGGTATGAATGCTCCCCGAACTAATGTCTATAATCTTTTCGATGTCCATATATGTGATTCGTTCTTCTCGCACCCACATTTCACATTTTCTGACGTTACTGCTGTTTGCGGGGCCCCAGTTCTTTGATCATTTTTAAGATTAATTTTACCCCTTTTGAATTCAGCAAACTACCTAAAAATTGTTGCGCGTGATGGTGCTGAGTCCCCTAATGCTGATTGTAACCGTTGTAAACTTAATGGTTCGGTTAAACCAAATTTAAAATCATAATATATCATAGCGCGCAAATGTTCACGGTTAAGATCCATCGTTTTAAATGAAAAGCGCAGGAAGCGTTGCAGGAAAATTAATAGAAATTTGGTTTATTTAATATTGAGCAATTGGCGTATGGAGTTATTTTTAAATAAATTTGCTTTTTAGCAACATAACACGGATCCGTTCCATTTTTTAATTTCGAGCATCTCAAAACTTACTGAGTGCTGGTAGATAACTGATGTTATAAGGAGTAACACAGGCTACTTTTATTTTAGAAAAAGAATTCGGATTCCGCGCTAAAAATTTCAAAACAATCGAATCGTAATAAATACCAAGTGTGCGAGGTCCGGGAACAACTATTATGTCATAATTTGTATTATTTATTTATTTATTTAGAAAACCAACAGCGTATATAGAAAATATTAACATTAATGTAACAAACTAAAATTATGGCCAATAACAGGTTTCCCTTATATTGTTTGATGGTAGGTGTATTGTTGTTAGAAGAAAAGGAAAAAGAACAATCTAATAGATAAATTATAAGCAAAATTATAAGCAATTCAATGTAATGAAGGTGGTCATAAGTTTACAGATCAGGAGAGATAGTCAGGTAGAATGATATATTACATTACCTTTATATATATATATATATATATATATATATATATATATATATAAACATATAAGATATATATATATATATATATATATATATACATATATATTTACTTATGTATATATACATATTAAATGTTTAAATATATAAACATAATACAAATAATTAATTATAATATATATTAAATAAAATAACTTAAGTACTTATATTTATATTAGTAGCCTCAAAAATACATATAGAAGAAATAGATGAGAGAATATATGATTGTATGTGATTTTAACTTCAACTGCTCTATTTCGTAATAGTTTTCTTGATGTAATCTTTAAACGTAAGTTTAGATTTCGCAAAGAGGTCAATGTGTCCAAATTGTTCATTATATGTAGGAGCAAGCCGCGAAAGAACAGTGTTTCGACAGTAGTTTGAATGATGCCAGGGAGTTTGTAACAATGTAGTATTGCGGGTACGGAATTTTGGAGTACGAAAGGTGATTCTTGAGACAAGATATGGACAGTCAATATTACTGTTTATTATATCATATAACAAAGCCATGTCAAGCAAAATGCGCCTGTGTTCCAGAGATAAGAGATCGTGCTCAGTGCAACTGTCTGTGTAAGTATCGATTTTATTCCGACAGCGAAAGTTAAGGTGATTAACAAATATTTTTTGAATACGCTCAAGGCGGCTTTTGTAGACATTGTACTGTGGAGACCATATTGAACTAGCATATTCCAAAACACTTCTGACATATGCAAAATAAACCATTTTAATTGTATTAATATTCGAGAATGGTTTACAGATGCGAAGAACAAAACCAAGATTTTTATAGGCTTTACTGATAACGTAATCAATGTGTTCGGATAGTATCATTTTATGATCAAAAATTACGCCTAAATCCCTAACACTTACTTTTCGGCTGATTTCTAATCCGTCAAAGTGATATTTATTTAGAATTGGCTTAGATTTCCGTGTAAAACTAATACATTCGCACTTGCTTGCATTGACAGTTATATTATTTATTTTGTAATATTCAAATAAACGGTCCAGGTCTTTTTGTATCAATAGGCAGTCATGTATGGTGTTAATTTTACAAAAAATCTTCTTATCATCTGCATACATGAGGTAATTTGTGTGTATAATGCACGAACCAATGTCATATAGGTAGGCATTGTAAAAAAGTGGAC